CTGCCATTATATACTGAACATTCTCTTATGTCACTGAATATCCTTTACCACCTCCACTTTGATGACAGGCCTCGATTCTGCCTAATTTCCCTGTTGGTTTCCTTTCAGATCATCACTGGGGAGTTCTACCGCATCTACTACCTGAAGGAGAAGTCCCGGTCAACGATTCAGAACCCCTATGTGGCAGCCCTCTATAAGCAGGTGGGCTGCTTCCTCTTCGGCTGTGCCATCAGCCAGTCCTTCACAGACATTGCCAAAGTCTCCATAGGGCGCCTGCGTCCTCACTTCCTGAATGTCTGCAACCCCGATTTCAGCCAGATCAACTGCTCCGAGGGCTACATCGAAAACTACAAATGCAGAGGTGACGACAGCAAAGTCCAGGAGGCCAGGTGAGTCACTGCCTACCATGGTCACAGTGTGCGCGCTCCGGATACAGGCAGTTCAGGGAACACTGCATGAGGTGCCAAGCTCAGTGCTGGGCTTTGGTTTCAAGGGGTGAATAAGGCATAGTCCCCATTCTTAAGGAACTCAGGGTCAAATGATTTAGATACATAGATAAATAAGTAGTTACGGTAGAACACTGGTAAGTCCATCCGTCTATCCATCCATCCTTCCATCCATTCATCCATTCTTTTGCTTACTCACGCATCCATGGGTGCCTGCTAGGTTCTAGACTGTGTCCAAAGCACGACAAAGGATGCAAAACCATACAAGATGGTGCTGCTCTCAAGGTCACAGTCTAGGGAGGGAAGACAGACAGGCAAACATGTGTCAGGCGTGTGAATATGGCCCTTTCATGGCCCTCTCTTGCTCTTGCAGGAAGTCCTTCTTCTCTGGCCACGCCTCCTTCTCCATGTATACTATGCTGTATCTGGTGGTAAGTACCTTCCTTCTGATTCCAGTGGAGTGCAGCATCCAGCCCCAGCTTAAATCTCTTCTGTGCAGAGAGCCCTTGGGATGGTTAGGGATAGACTTCATTGTGAAATCCTTGAAAGAGAAGTTAGCTAGAAAAATGAGGTTCTGTTTTGAGCTCTGCCACAGCATCAGTGAGAAGTTGTTTTATTTTCTAGGTGTTTCCCATCTTTCAAATAAAATTAATATTTATTGTGGCTGTTTGATAAGGATTGTGCACCCATTTTGAAGTTAAAAAGTGACGAAGACACTCATATCACGCTTTATGGTAACAAGCCCTGTTTTCTGAACATCCATTTAACTCAGTTGACCCTTCCAGGCACCCTAGGTTATAAGTAATATTGTCTCTTTTGTGGGAGAGGATTGCTGAGTAAGGCTCGGAGAGTTCACGTGAATTGTCAGAATTTACACAGACACTAGCACTATTGCTCACATCCAAGCCCTGTCATCAGATTCCTTGTGGTGTTCGCCATGCCAGCCCTCCTCCATCCCCTAATGAGGGAAAGGCTTTAAAAATTATCATTATCTGATGACTTAGAGTGATTTCAAGTGTGACAGAATAATTCTGCCTCCGTGAGCACACGTGATCTCATAATAACATGGTGAGGCATGACATGTGTATCCCTGCTGCTGGGATCCAGAGACCAAGGCCCCGGGAGCCTAAGCAGTGTGATGGGGGTGGGGGTGGGGTTCCTCAGCTAGTGGTGGGGCCATAATCTGAACCCCTGTGTCACCCCTCCCATGGCCACGTCTGCTCTGACTTCCCAGAGGCGCTGGGACAGTGCAGATCCACCTCTCCAGCTGCAGCACAGAGGGCGGCTGGTCTGTTTCTCTTTGTGAGTTACATACGGTCCCCTGCCTTTCCTCTCCCCTTGAATGAGGTCCCTGTGCCAAGGCACTTCCTGCTTTCGGCCTCTTTGATGAAGAGCAAGAAGGCGCTGAGAGGTCAGACGTAGCTCAGGGGATCATAAGCTGTTTGCAGAGAGAATGTTTTGATTTTGACTTACTTAAAAAACATAATTAGGATTTGGAAAACCTAGCAGAAGGGTTTTGTTTTGTTTTGTTTTCCCTTGCAATGCTTTCCAAGCCCGGAGGCCTCCGGGCTTCCCATTACCTGGGATCCAGAGCCCAAAGGTGGGCCCCGACAAGCCTCAAGCGGGGATTTTATTTATTCACGAATCGCGTGCCCCTCCCTTCTTCATTTGTTGTTGTTTTGCTTTTGCTTTGCTTTTAGAAAGCTAATTTAATGAAGATACTTAGTTTCCTATTTCATTTTTTTATACTTTACCCGGGTCTGGAAGCAATTTTACAAATGTAATTTCAGTGTTTTGCAAAGGTGCTTGGAGGAGTGGGTCTGTGTTCATTTTTCTCCCATTCCTTCATTTTCTTCCAAGAGAAAAATACTGGGTAATTTTGAAACCAACTCTGCACTGTATATGCTCTACAGCCGCCAAAAAGATAAAGGTGCTGACCTGTTTCTGGTGCCTTCTGTGTACCAGGCACTGGGGCAAGCTCACACCACAGCATTCGGTTCTCTCAGTAACTCGATGAGATGCATCTTGATTACCTCGTTTTCAGCTGGAAACCAACCAACCAACCCGAATCTTAAGAATTTTGGTAATAAAAGTTCCATCTCCTATAAAAGGGAGAAAATGGATTTGAAGGCTCGTCTTGATGACACCAGGATCACTGTCTGTTCTTTTCGTGGTATTGCTCTTCAAAACACAAAAACAACCCCACCAGGATAAACTTAAAGAATATAAGTTCCCAGGGTGCCTGGGTGGCTCAGTTGGTCAAGCCGGGGTCCTGGGATTGAGCCCCTGCATCGGGCTCCCTGCTCAGCGGGGAGCCTGCTTCTCCCTCTGCTTGCCGCTCCCCCTGCTCATGCTCACTCTCCCTCTCCCTCTGTGTGTCAAATAAATGAAATTTAAAAAAAAAAAAAAACAAAAAAACAGAATATAAGTTCCCAACTCTAATTTCCATTTCCCCTAATGGCAACCCGCCTTTCTTCAGATCTGTTTTAATGGAGGACCTGCCCCCTCGCCCCCACCCCCACGACCACCTCCTACCAGCGGTGATTACAGCCAGAGACCTCCTCTGCAGGGGTGAGGAATGAGGGGTATATTCGGACCGAACGTCTGTTCGCATCTTTGAGGGAGGAGAAAATTACAGTGCCTGTATGTTTCTGGAAAGAAGGAAGGGAAGGAGGCAGGGGAAGAGGGTGGGAGGAAGAGAAGAGCCTCCTTAGTCCTCCATGGCCCTAGCATCTTACTGCACACGCACACACAGCCGTGCACACACCATACACTAGAGAAGCCTTGCAAATGCATGCATTTTATCATGCACAACTCACGGATACCCATTATACAACATATAAACATAGGGCTCCATTTTTAGCTCTCAGGTTATCTTGCCCTGAAACAACCCCTGAGGCTAAATTCCAAGGAGGACAGTGCTCTTCGGCAGGCTTGCTTCTACTGATGCTACACAGAGATCTCAACCCTCTGAATGTCCAATGTGCAAAGCTTTTTTAGAGCACCATTGCTGCCTGTCAGGGTCCGTGGGAAATGCTGCACTCAGAGCAGCCCCCGGCCCATCCCCCAGTGCTTCTCTGTGGAGCTTCAGGAAGTGGAGGTGGGCAGAGGAGACCCTGGCCTCCCCCAGTGCAGCTTCCCTGGGGGCCTTGAGGAAAATCACCTTTGAACCAGTTGGGTGTAGCATTGATGGCATTTGTCCCCAGGGTCTGGCAGACCTGGATGATTCCGCCACCTCATGACTAGCTCTGGAACCTGGGGTTGCTTACTTAGCTTTCCCGCCTCAGTGTACTCCTCTGTAAAGTGGAGACAGTCATGTCTCTTTTGCAGGATCGTTGCTACTTTTCATCTCTAGACCCCACTTTCTTCATCTGTCAAATGAAAGAGTGGAGTTAGATGGTACCTACTTATGTCTCAATCTCTGCGGTTCTATTTGAAAGAAGTTTGAACTACCCCAAGCGGTACAAGAAAAGATGGGAAGCCGTCAGCGACAAACTTATGCCCTCAATATGTTGGCGTTCCAGGGTGGGGGGGCAGGAAGCACCAGCCCCCTCTACTCCAGGCCTGTCGGCAACATCTGCCATCTGAGGCCTCCCGTGTCTCTGAAGGACACTCCACGTTAGGTTTTGATTTGTAAAATGGTTAGCTTGGAAAAACCATGCCCCAAACACCAAATTCTCTCCGGGCATAGAAGCTTACAGATGAGGCTAAGGCATGTTAGCGATGAATACAGATTCTAGTAAGAAAAATCCACAGCAGATAAAGCATGCATGATGCTTTTCTAACCCTGAGTCCTGGCCTAAGCCCCAGAGAACCACATCTGGACCAGCCTTGGCCCTCCACGGTCAGGGATGGAGGATGACTGGCTTTCTGGGTAAAATGCCAACATCTGAGCAGGCCCCGATCTGTGGGCCTACCTGGTGTCTGTTTTGCCAGGCGCTCTGCTACCTCGCAGGGCTACTAATGTGAATCAGACCTGGGCCTCGCCCTCAAGGAGCTCAACGTGGGTTCAAAACTCGGAATATCAGCACGTATTTAATGGGAGCCTGTGATAGACCAAGCAGCACGCCAGGGGTGGGGATGTAGACATTGGGAAGTCATGGGCACAGGCCTTGGGGTGCTCAGTCTAGGGGAGCAAGTAGACGATGACAGCAGTTTGGTACACTGTGCCGGGGGGGGGGGCGCAGGTGTAGGTCCTTATGGAAACTTAAGAGTCGTGACACCTAAGCCAGCCTGGAGTGGAGGGTGGCGGAAGCTGGGGAAGGCTGCCAGTAGGGTGAAGATGGGCAGATTGGAAGAACTGCCTGTGTGCAGGTGAAAAGGAGGGCGGTGATTTGCAAGCTGCAGGTTTTCAGTTTAGTCCAGCTGTGGTGGCCGGTAGGAAGCAAGGGATGGAGGGTGCAGTGAGAGCTGAGAGGAGTTTCAGGACCAGCTGCCCCAGCCCCTCCTCCTGCAGCTCAGATCAGGCAACAGCAGGTTGGTGGCCAGGCCTTTCCTTTGCCACCATGCCTCCCTACCCGAACGAGCACCTTGCCCCCTTGCCTTCTTCAGGGTGCTTTGTCAGAGAAGCCTTCCCCGGCCCCTCCTGCGATACTCCCTAACTCCCTTTGCAGCCTTATTCCTGCCCCCCACCCAGTTTCTCACCGTCTGATGTCTACATTCATTTCTCTACCAGATAAATTGTAAGCTTCATGAGGGGGATGCTTTTGTCTCTTGATTCACCACTGTATCCCACCGCCCCAAACAGGGTCTGACACTTAGTTAAGTATGCAGTGAATATTTGATGAGTGAATGAATGAATGAATGAATGACTCAATCGCAGGCCTTCTACATCCCCAAGCCATGCTCCTTCCCATTCTAGTCAGAATTGTGTTCATCCCCTCATCCCTGAATTGATCGATGGGAAAGGACCTGGGTGGTGTAGGGAAGGCCTTTGCCGCCTCTTTGCTGTACTGTTGACGTATTGACTCTTTACTGGGGTGCCCGTGGGAACTGTTTATGTGTCAAAGGGTTTGTCGGATACCAAGGAAACAGGGATGTGGCTGTCCAGGGATGACAGCCATGTTCCCTGGCCTGTGGTTGTTAATCATTGAGGTTTTGTTCAGCATGTTTAGAATCCTGGAGCGGTGGGGTTGGTATGCCCACGAGACATGCCCACAGATCCTGGGAGTGTCTGGTGAAACCCCCTGCAGGGACAAGATTGTGGTTTCTATGGGGAATAAACCACCATATCAGATGTAGATGTTTTCCCTTGTCTTTCCCCTTGCCTATATCCATCCATCATCCATCCACCCATCTGTCTGTCCATCCGGCAGTTTCTGAGCCAGCCCTTGTGTGAGCACCTGGGGACGCCAAACAACCTCCTATTTGTTGTGGAAAGCCTGAAAAGTAAATAGTCTCAGAACAAGTGGATGAGGTCTCCGACTCAGGT